TTCAAATCACAATAGCGTCTCTCATTACTCAGCCGCTCGTTAACGTCCCGCCCGCCGCAAAACACTAACTTTATCAGTCCCCCACGTCAAATATCTACCGATCTCAAACTATATCTCTCTCGGACACAATCGACTTGGAATAAAAGCAAAAAATTAAAACATGACTTCTGAACGCACCCTACCAGATGCGTATCGGCTCGCCAAAATAGCCAATTTTGAATTTCGAATCTCTGTTGATATGACGGCCGAGTTCCTTTTACGAAATGGCCGCGAATTGTCAACGCATTGACAACGAGGCGTATCGAATAAGGAGACTACATTTGATTTGAATACTGGCGATTTGAATATAAAGGTCGGCATTCACGTGTCGCCGCCATACATCAAGCCGGGAGCTTTAAGTCTTTCGAGCGCTTTTTGGACACAAATAAGCGTCTGATGGTCGACGGGATGTGCATAATGTACAGCGATTTGGAATCGGTCATGAGAACGTTTGCGAATATTTTAGGCTCTGTTCAGATCTTGTAAACCTTTTCTCTGTCAAAATAAGCTGTCCACATAATTTAAATTTGATTTAAACGTTCAATAGGAATAGACATTCTATAACTTTGTAATAAATAACGATGTTTAAGGAACGTAGATTAAACTATCCATTTCGCAATGGGTGTGAATGTCTTAACTAAAAGGTTTCGAGCCCAATCTGAGCTCTTGTAAACAGCCGTGAGTGCCACATTAAGATAATAATTTAAATATTTACGGCGTGTAAATGTCGATATCCCGGTCCGTTCGTGGTACACCCACGAGAGCCTGCGTCCACCGCCGCCATATTTCATTTGCCCACAATTACAACCATTAAAAGAGCCGCAACTCTTTGATACACCTTTTTTATTTATTGTAGCAAACTTATTAGGATACCGTGGCATTAATGATGACAGATGAACCTTACTATCTGGCCTTAATGCGTTTTTATGTCGGGACTCTCGATCAGAAGAAAAAAAACTTAAATAATTTAAATTATTTCATATCCCCACAATACACCGATATCGGAGATAAGTATTAAACGTTGAAACTTGTTTTAACAGGTGTAATTTGTTAACGACAAGTCCTAAGGAAACGTAAGATAACAAGCGTACGAAACAGGTAATTGAAAACAATATTTAACTGTATTTTATCGCGACGGAGGCACATAACGAATGTCCGAGACTGTCGATCTGCATAAATACGAGTGATTATTGTCGTGTCGGCCTCGTGAGCAGCCAGTCGCTGGCCAAAGACAAATGGACGACATTTGCCGCTCAATTTAATTAGCAACTCATTCTTTTCCGACCAGTGACCCAATGATTCTTCGAAACTCGTCACCCGGTTCTATTTTTAAAAACAAATGCCAGTCGCCCCGTGGGTTCGCTACATTCATAAAAAGTTTCATTGAATTAGATTCAATACACTTTGATATGATATGGTATGGTGTAACCGGGGCGCCCCCAACACGACTCCTGGGCAGCTTGTGACTATTTGGCGAGATTGGCGTGTGAGTAGGTTATATATACTCAAATAAATCAAAGATAAATCTCATTTATAATTTTAGCATAAAGTACCTTTTAACGTAATTAATATCATTGTAGGCTTTAGACAGTAATTTTTTCACTGTTAATCTTGTTATGCTATTAACTTAAATACAAAGTAAAGTTTAAACTGACGTTTAATATACACTTCAATTGAGTTGTCCAATTTAGTGAATGTTTGTTGAAAAATTTTGTTCCTTTTCTTTATCGGCGTAGAAATAATGACGTATCTATAACTTAGTCTGATTCCAAGTTAGTATTCTTGTAAGAGAACCCAAAAACTATCGACAACAGTCGGTACCAAAAAAACTTTTGTTTTCGGTTTGAACGGCCCTCGCCATAGACAAATTAGCGCAGATCGAATCTTTCGAATTTGAATAGCGAACGCACATAGAACGGAAACACGTTGTTTTTACCGCGTTTTAATTTAATTTTGAATTCGGAATGTCGCCCGGCGCGCCTCCCTGCTGCGCTTACAAATGGCGCCAATACATCAACCCGATGATATCTCATTCGATTTTTGAACAGCGGAGGGCATCAAATTAATAAAAGTTAACCTCACAAGGTGAAATATTCAACATTTTGTAGGTCTATTTATACTTAACTCTATTCGATTTTACTTTGAAATGAACATTTTATAAATCTTTGTTTTACATTTTGGATCGTTTTCATTGTACGTGGCTAGTTTTGAATTTAATCCGTGTAAAGCAGGCTCTGCCTCTCCACTACCTGTAGGCACTGAATATTGTTGTGTCCGTCAGAGCAAACACATCTTGTCTCATAAGTCTGATACACACTACATAACAAAGAAATATAATAGTAAGTTCATCAGAATGAACCGAGAGAAGCTCTTAATATGCGCCTTATCTATATATATATAAACCAGACCGTTACATCATACTTCTAAATATCTAATTTTTTTATGATATCACATGATGAACAAGTCGTGCGCCTGATGATAAGCATCATGAAAACATAAAATGTTGCACAAAAATCTGAGGGGTCCTGTCAATGTGCCCGTCACACTGAAATATAAGAGTGGTTATACACACGAGGCGACTTCTATCCGGGACGCAATCGCCTATAAATCCCAAGTGTAACGATGCAATCGCGCGTTTGTATCTCTTAGTTTATAAAATTCCATGTCAAACACCGGGCCCCATATCCCTCAAACCCGGGACATAATAATGCTTATAGCATCAGAAACAGTTATGGTAGTCTTTCCAAAGGGTTGCACTGTTAATCATAAATACTTTTTATTAGTACTACCTAGTCGTAAGCACCCAAAGAAGGGAGACCAAATTTCGATAATAAATACCAGTCACCTAGGATAGGTGTGTGAAAACTGTCCTATCAAATTATAATAGCAAAAAGCACTCTCAGATCATTGACGACGAATTTGCTTAATAAAATGTTTAAGGCGTATCATTTTTTTTTTATTCTATTTATTTAGGGACTTTGATCGTTACAGAACATGTCGGCCCCGTTAGAAAAACAATACCTCAAGACAACACTTAATAAAATCTAGACAGATAATTCAAAATACTAAACTAAAATGAATACTAAATCTCCGCGGCGCTGTATGACTCCGACAAAACAGATTGAAACCACCCAACATTAAATATACGGAAACCAGCCTGTGCAAATAACCGCGCCCTGATATCATCATTACAGCCTCAATTCACCCACTGCTGGGTATAGGCCTCCAAGTTACTTTGCCATTCCCCACGGTCCCGTGCTAATCTCATTCATAGACTCGCAATTCCTGCGATGTTGTCCGTCCGTCTCGCCACTGGATGCCCAACGTTCCTGTATCCTTGGAGGACACTCAGATATAGCCTTACCTATCCTGTCATCTTGTCTCCATATCAGGTGCTCTGGTCAGCTCCACTTTAGCTCCGTGATGCGCTTTCCCACGTAGGTACTTTACCTTTGTTCGACTTCGAATCTGGACATTGAGAACATGATCTCTATGGCGTATAGAAATCTTGAAATACTTCGTGAATTTAATCATAGCAATTGCTAAGAATGATGGTTATTATTTTGCATGTTCCAATGAAGTTTCAAACGCCATTCAATTACTTTCGAACATTCATACCTAAAACTAAAATCTGTGAAGTAGTATTTTGCTTATTAGGTACTTCTGTACAATAATTAACTGATTTGTAGTCGTTAACATCAAATTAAAAAAAAAACTCTTTACAAAACAAGTTTTATTGATATTCATATTTTTTTGTAAAATAACTTCACTATAATTGTTTGTTAAAAATAATTCCATCAAAATTACAATTAAAACAGCGACATCTATACCAGCCTTTAGTAACTGTAAAGTGCCGTCTGAGTAAGAAGCTTCATAAATCTCTCACAGTTGCCGCTTACGGCGATAAAAGCCGAAAAATCCAATACCAATTATCTTGTATCCCAATACAAAGATCTTTAACAAACACAGAAAAATTCATAAGACCTGCTGTGTCGATCTATAGCTCAGTTGGTACAGCCGTTGCCCTGGTTTAACACAGTCACAGGTTCGAGTTCTGACGAGTCCAGTGTTAGGTCATGAAAAAATTTCCATTTTGAAAAAATTATATTTTTCCGGATGTTTTTCCTCTATTTTTGTTGTAGTTGAAGTTACTAAACGAAAACGATGAAGTCAATAACTAGTGATGGTGGTGTGGTTGGTGGAGGTCTTTCGTTGTTGTGAAATTTACTTTTAAAACTCGTTTTTCTTATAAATACAAGTTTATTTTATAATTGACGCTAAATAAAACTTCAAAAAATATTTCTAAACGTAGAACATAATATGAGCTTTCCAAATTACATTTTTCCAAATTGTCGGGAGTTTTTCCTTAAAAATTTACACTATTTCGAATTTTTTCATCCTCTAAGAATTTTTTGGATATTTACTTAACAGTTAATCGAGTCGAAGTTTTTTCTTTGTATTTTCATTTCTTCTTTCCCTTTATTTTACACAGATTTTGAACGCAATCACAATTATTCGTAATGGCAATATGGCAATGTTTTACAACTGCCGGATTCGCTCTGGGCCTTTTGGAGGGAAGAGTGTCGTTTTTATTTTGACTTTCAATTATTTTGTGAAATCTAGTTTAAAGTGGAATAGGGTAGTGCTATTGTGCCGTAATCGAAGATTAAAACGCGAAATTATACGAATCGCGAACTAAAATACCCGTATCGGTCCTTTCTAAGGAATCCCGAGACAATCCAAACACGCCGCCTCAAATTGCCTATCTTCTTTTTGGCGACCATATTTACAGAAACATAATTAAACGAAGACATGGCTCAAAGGACTTGTATCCAAGCCCAAATTATTAATAAAAAAAATATTTACAACTGCCAAAGTCAAAATTCTCAATTGACAGTAGCTGTCATAACATCGCGCGAAATAGGTATCCTGGAGAAAATTAAATTCAATTTATTCAATCCCCACCACGGAAACCAGCTTTCACCATGGTGAGTCGTTGTCGGAGGCGACGTCATAACTCCATCGTGTGATGGTCTAGACGCTAGTGTTTACTGTTGTGATTTTATTGAGTGTATTTCTGACAGGGCACGGCAATGTTAGCACGGATGTCTTTCTATCCAACTCTTCTCTACAATGTTGTCATGGAAAAGGTGACCAGCAGACGGTGGTATGATAGGATGGATGATACTGTGATTCTTGGCGCGCTTCCGTTCCAAAACATGACGAGACAGGTAAATTTAAGGTTATTTGCTTAGAGAAAACTTTTGGTTTTCTTCTTATTTTCTCGAGTTTTTTGTGTGGATAGTGTATTTATAAATGTTCTAATATGTTTAACATATTGTTTGACAATATGTCGTATAGTTTCGAGGCTTAATTTATTAAATTTTTTTTTTAAAATAACTCCTCTAGTTTTGTTATGAATGAATGAAAATTGTTATGAATACAAAGATGGAACGTACGGCAAAATTTCGTCAACCCGGTGGGACTTAAACTCTTCTTTGGACTTAAATTTTTCTGTCAAAATTTTAACCATAACAAAATGAGTGGAGTTATTTCATAAAAAAATTTCAATCTTTTTTTTTTCTTTTTGCTAACATGCAATGGGTCTTATGTGAGACCATAAGCAGTTCATGGTTTTATATATTTTGGCATGTTAGGCATACTCTTCGAAAACTATTCGGTTCAGATAGTTGAATCCCAAATGTGTTTATGCTTCAATCTTATCATACGCGGTGGTACACACAATGCGCTAGCTAGTTTATTAGTATGAGTGGATATTCTTTCTTTACAGGGCTTAGTTAGTCTAGTTATTTCATCAATAATTGTAGGCATTTTAAGGTCGTATTCTAGAACTCTACTCAATGCTCAAGTCAGGATTGCAATGGAAACACAAGTACTGGAAGTACGACCCTAATGGCAGGGACTTGAGTATGGTTTCGAGTGCTTTAAACCATACTCAAATCCTGACTTGAGCATTGAGTAGAGTTCTGGAATACGACCCTAAGACATTCATGGATCTCATATATATTAGTGAACCATAGAGAATTTGTAATTGACTTGAGAATACTGTTTGGGTATTGTTGCAGCATTTCTATATATCAGTTTGAAACATTGAATAATAATTTGGTAACTACCCATAATTTGGTTTAGCCATAGTTTGGTTTGGTAACTACCCAAAGCTCAAAACCGTAGGTCCAAATTGGTTTTGAAAAGCACTGCATTGTAGATAGTTTTTCTAGAGATACTTTAGACCTTTTAACCACAGTAGCTACTCCAAGCACCTGGTTAACAAAACTAGTGGAGTTGCTTCACAAAAAAATTTCAATAAATTAAATAATAATCTTCATTACAGCCTCAAAACTATACGACATACTGCCGAACAAATAAACAAAAACTTTACTTATTAATATTTTTTTTTACATCTTCATGATTTGATAATGGCTTGCCATGATAATAAGTTAATATTTAATTCAATCTATTTGACCAAAAGGAAAACAAAATCATTTACTTTTTTTTATATCTTCAAGATATACCAATAACTGAATATTATAATAAGTGTTAATAACTCTGTACTACTTTTACAATTGCTTTAAAATATGAGGACTGTCCTATTTTATGTATTATGGGTACCGTCTTTTCTAAACCATTTAAGGCAAATAAAATGTCATTTCATTTCAAACAATATGTAAAACATATTAGAACATTTTTCATAAGTTAAGTTATAAACTTAAGTTGTAAAGTAAATACTTTTATACATTACACTTACCTGTATACCTTTGTGTACACATATTCTAGTCATATTCTAGGTTTTAACATACGACACACACAATGAACCGACACTTATTCACACAGACACCCACGCGAACACACACACACACGCGCGCACACACACACACACACACACACACACACACACTTACACAAACACACACACACATAAACGAGTACTGTAGTTACGAGATTTAGTAATTTTTAGTGTAATTTAACTATTATTTTTTTGTTTTATACCTATTACTTAGTGTAGACTTCACACATTATTTTCATACTAAAAAGAATAATAATAATAATAAATTTATTTCCTTGAATGATGAAGAATGTCTCAATCTTGTATGTAATTTCGTTTATTTTTGAGATGAAATAAAGGTTTTATGTTATTGTATTGTGAGGTAACTTGAATACTTTGTATATATTTAATTGTTAGTAAGTCAGCGGGTATAACATTGTATTGTCAATGTAAATGAATTACATATAATTACTATGGAAGTCGTGCTGCTACGCAATTGAATAACAAACAGCTTGTTTAAAAACTAATAATCAATCATGGTTACATTGTGTGAAACCATGAGCATTAAAATACAAAAAAACAAGTCAATGTTGTAACGAGCCAATTAGTAATATTAAAATAATCATACGTAATTATTTATTGTTTCAACTTTTATTAAACTTTTTGTTATTAGAAATAAAGCTTAAGTAATTTTTCTGACCAGTCAGGATGATATATTTACATCGTATATTTATTTATGATATCGACCCCCCAGTCAAAGGTCCTGGTAAATGCCTACGCCGCTAAAAACTGTAAAGAAACTCTAGCACTGGACAGTAATCACATTACTGATTAAGTGGCGCCCGGGTTATGTCAATACTTTGTATTTTTTTACTTTGTATTTCTGGTACTTTGTACTACCCAGTGAAGGGACGAACAAGTAGTGTGCCTGGTGGTTTGCAACACACCTATCCACAACAGTTGCAGTGCTACTCAGAGCTTTAAATCGCAAAAATCTGTGGGCCTAAGCCACTGCGCCTGTCACTCTGAGACATAAGTTAAATTAAGTTAAGTCCCATGTGCCTGTAACTTCACCACAACTCAACTACACACTTCAACACTTCAACTATTGTATTCCTGCTGTTTCAGCTGGTGGAAGAAGAGAATGTAAAAGGAGTGGTGTCAATGAATGAGACTTATGAACTTAAAATATTCTCCAATGATGCTGCGGTGAGTCAACTTCATGTGATAACTTTGAAAATGATGATTAAACAAACACAACCAATAATTCCTCCGATGTGACTAGACTTGAACCAGCGACTCGCCAAGCCGGGGCTATCGCTCTCCCAACTGAACTATGGAACTAGTTAACAAACCTTACGAGTTTCTCTATGTGCTTGTTGCCGATCTTTATTTTTTATTTTAATAGCTTGTTTGGTATTCAAGCACGTACCTTCACACCTACCAGCAGCTAGTTAGTGATGTCGCTATTTATTAGTTGTCATATTTATATTGAATATCATGATATTTTTCTTGTTTTGGGTTTGTAATCCAAGTTGAAGGGAAACGCAACGTGATTTTCGCTCGTATTGCATATATAAAAGCTTTTATTACTCCATGAATAATCTCAAAACTTTTGTACTAATATTCTCCCGGACACATAATTTGAGCCACCTTGCATTTTCAATATTAAATGCTAAGCTTAAACAATGTTTGATTGCTTAAGAGCTCTCATGCCAAAAAAGTTTTGACGTTGGCTCCGCACAAATTTGTGAAACAAATATATGCCTGAAGTTCGCGTGACATGCGACAGGAGATGTTGAATTTTGCGCGTTAAAAGTACCAAATTCGTTTTAGCGGAATAACTCTAAAACTAAAGGTATTAAAAAAAATCCGTAGTGACAGTTGTCGATCATGCATAAATATAATTAATTATCTAATTTTTTTCCTAATAACCTGTAGCATTTCGAGGATAAATCGAAAAAATGTGAAAATTAGAGGTTATTTCGTGATTTTTATCTATCGAGGAAACTTTATTGTTTTGTGTTTCTGATTAATGTCTATGCTTGAATATATCTTGTAGTTACGCATACAATATTTTATTTTTACTTTAAAGTGGACCCCTCTAAAATCAAATCGAAGACTAGGAATTTTTCCTCTGCTCCCTCTTTCAAATTAGCATTTTTGACGATAGCTCATACAACTTTGAAACTGATATACTGTGACTAAACGTCATTTCCTGAAGTCGTTATTGAAAATTTAAATTTAAAAAACCAGAGAAAACTTTTTCTTCAACAATAACTATATTTTTATATTCTAGCCCTAAGGATAAAAATGCAAGGTGGCTCGAATTATGTGCCTGGGAGTGTATTTTCATTGGGTACATAAAATACCTTTTTGTTCAACCATTTGTACAGCTGACAATTCAAAATTTTAAAATAATAATACTGTCTGTAACAATGCAGATTCAAATCCAGTTCAAAAGTTTATCTCAAAAACTAATCGTCTAACATTTCAATAACAAAATAATATGTTTCAAAGAAATATGAAGGTCATCCTGTAATGGAAAATGTCATGGTAATAGACCATGGAGTAGTTTTTGTTAAATAATAATAATGTGCCAGACAATCACACCAATTACTTAGGTACTTGATTGTTTTTTACAAAGCATTTAATCGTTTTAAATATGTTGCTGGAGGAACATGGAGACAAACAGTAAAAGATAAGGAGAAATGGAAATCTCTGGAAGAGGCCTATGTCTTAGGACAAGCTGAAGGTACTGAGTCAACAAATTGAGTAATATTAAATAAGT